CTCTTCTGATAACATGCTCCTTTAAAAGAAAAGAAACTACTGAAAAACTTTTCGAAAAAAGAAGAGGAAACCAGGAAAGGAAAAAGGGACAGAATGCAACACTGAATTTATCAAAGCTAGATCATCTGGTGAAATACCCTGAAATATAATTTGTTTGATGAAAGTTTGAACACACCTTACTGTAAACAAATAGTAAAAGTAACAGTGAGTGAACAATGAGTTTTAGTTTGTAACCCGGATTTGTTTTTATCTCTATCGATTTATGAGTTTCAAACAGCGGTATACTACTGTTGCCTTTATTTATAATTTCTTCTTTTTTAATTCATTTAAATTGGGACAACTAGCAAAATAAGTTCATGTCATAAATTCTTTTTTCAGGCAAAGTGGATAGTGTTGGAAAATGTCGCCAGTATTTATTTTGATGGCAATAACATTTCATTTGCAAACAGTTTCAGGTATATAGATAAAATAAAAATAAAATTACGGCGAATTACATGTGAAACAACAATTCCTTAGTGTACAATATAGAAGTCATGAGATATAGGAGTAAAATCATTTCAAATATTCCTCTTTGCACTAAGCAAACGGGAAGAAAAGTTTGGTTTGTTACTTTTCCGACTTCTGTTTTTAATTAATGAATATAACAATCTGTTTTGTGTGTAGCACGCTTCATGTTTTTATTCCATACAATCGTAAAGCTTGAGTAACTGTGGAAAAATGTCGCAAAATAAATCGGGTTTTGTGTGTCATAAATCAGAACATTTAAGTACTATCTAATCTAGAAGAATGTATCTAAACAAATCTCTCAATAATTTTGGTATATCCCAATTTCATCATCACTGGCGATTTAAAAGAACTCTAAATTTAAACATATTAATGCATTAATTTCTATCATAATAAAGGTATGTCCTTTTTAACTATGTATCCTTTATTAAAATTTCAATTTCCAAGCTCGACTAAAGAAATAAAAATATGTCCTTTATTTAAATGATTTCAATTTCAAAGCTCGACTAAGGAAACAACAATATATCATTTATTTAAATGATTTCTTTTTCCAAGCACGACTAAAGAAAATAGCCCAAATCATGTTAGGTAAACTTTGTATAAAGGGGTTGCTTAGTATTACATAATAAACATATCAGAATATGATTGAAACTTTACTTAAATGTTTATATCAAATTATAGAATGATACCAGTTGTATTGGACAAGATGCAGTGGTCTTATTTATAATTTAACAACGTTTAAACGACTACCGGGGATATCAATATTACCATGGTGTATTGAAATATGTCTATTGATACAAACAGTATGTTGAACTTTTGATGTCCCGTATGCATTGCTTTCTCCTTGCATTTTGATCATATCGTATATATTATGTCAAAAAGAAAATATGTGGCTTCCACAAGTCCGACAGCAGAGGAACTGGTAGACACTTTAAAAACGGCGCCCATGAACTCACTGTTACTTAAGAAATAATTCATGGCAGTCGTAGATTTGTTTGCATTTAACCATGGGTTGGGTATTTGTATTCGATTATTTTACCCTGAGCGTTAGCGTTATTTCGATTCTAATAGGACAAATTTGGTAATTTTGTTAACCGTGAAAGCCCTATACACACGATACTGTTTTGGCTGTTCCGTTTTACCCCAATATGATAATATAAGTAATATTATATAATTCAATAATATTTTTTTAAATCGCACTTTTCACCCATATATGTTCTTATAATGTAATTGTATTGCATTCTGAGGCGTACAAGAAGCTTTAAAACGCCCGCTGTTTACATTTTATTTTTGTACGGTAACATACAAATGACGTCACCTTGTTTCGTTGCCATGCAAAGACGATAACATCATTTCGCGGAATTTTCGTTTTATGAAATTTTTCCACGAAACGTAGATTGAAATGGACTGATTTGTTTTTTTTTGCTTAAGAATAGAGAAAACTATATTGTATCTGAATCTTGACTTATGTAAACTGTGAGTTTTGATGTCGAAAATTGAGAAATCCTGGTAGTATTATTAAGTTGGGCGAAACAAGGAACAGCCAATTTTGTGTATTTATGCGTTTGGGCTAAATGTAGATATACAGTGATTATACTGGTTGACGATAATAGGTCGTCATATTAGAATTAATGATGACGAAAATTAAAATCACATCCTTTTCTGTGTATTCTTCATGCTTGTGAGTTATTTTGTGTCAATTTTTGATAACCTCATCCTTTATTTTCTTATTATAAGAATAATTTAAAGTGTGCTATTTGTGTTCGTACCTTCTTTAATCGCAGGCATTGGAAATGGTAATGGTATAGTCGCAGTCAGGGTTCAAAGAGGAGAACGAGTAATATTGAAATGTTTAAGCTCCGGAGTTATGAGAAGTTGGTTAGGACCAGATTTCAGCAATTTAACAAACGAACAAGCATTGATTTATTTTTCAAATTATCTCAAAAACCCGAAACTGAGCATGTCTAAATATTCCGTTCAGGCAAATAATGGAAACTATGACTTGAATATTTACAATTTCTAAAAGGACGATACCGGGTTTTATATTTGCAGATGTTTCAATGACCATGATAACGGAACATTTTATGAAACTAAGTTTAACGTTTCATTATTAGGTATGTATACCAATTCAAATCGTTATACAATTCGACGATGCTTCAAAACTTTAAAACAAAGTTCCACGGATACAAAACATGTTAATAGCAATGTTTTAAAGTATGTAATATTTTAACTTATGAATCTAGGATATTTTTTATAGAGATGTACGAATCATTTTTTATTATAGAAACCTTCTAACACATCAACTAATAAATTTAAGAAATTTTAAGAAGAAACATGAACATCTTTTTGTCAGGTTGTCGATTCTAAAGACCGTTTTTATTGTTTTGACTACATTATTAAGAAATTTCAAGCTGACAAGGTAAAATTTTCGAGGCAGTAAGTGTGAAAAATTTCCAAATTGTTTCGATTGTGCTTTTTTATATTTGTATTAGATAGATAAAATACGATGCAAATAAAAAGATATTGTATGAGCGCTGAAAAAAAACAATAGATAAAAAGAAAGATCAACAAGGAGATTCGTTCACAATCTGAAAATAAATATTATGTGTACTGCTTCCTTTCTATCTCCTCAGTGAAAATTGGGTGTTGAATTTAAATTTTTGTATAGTGTTTTTTAAGAGATAAGAGAGAGAGAGCGTAATGATTTTCTATCCAAGGTAATTACAATTTGCAAGCCTTTCTCGAATTTTTGGTCCTCAATGCTCTTCAAATTCGGTCCTTATTCGACCATCAATTTGTTTATTCGAATGTCATTGATGTGTCTTTTGTAGACGGAACGCGCCTCTATTGTGCATAAAGTTAGGCCTGGTATATATGATGTTTTTATTTACCTGGTCGATCAAAAGTCCAAGAGTACCAAATTATTACATGGCTGACACTTAATAGTTATAATGTGTGATACAAAGTAGACAATGTTCATATATTGAGATACAACATTTATTTCTTTTTTGCCAAGATGAAGGTGTTACAATTAGTACAATTGGTTATAAAAGAGGAAGGAAACTAGGAAACGCACCAGACATTCAAATTAATGTCAAGGACACCAGTTCACAATGTAAGTACATTAGAACCAATCATCTGGTTAGCACGATAACATTATAAGGATTAATTTTGTTCTATATTCTATAATGAATGCTCAAGTGTGAATTCAACAATAGTTTAATGAAAGGCTGAAGCGCTTCGAGTCAAAATGAGCAAGCGATCACTGATGAGTCTTTTGTAGACGAAACGCGCATCTAGAGCAAATACAAAATTTTAATCCTGGTATCTACGATGAGTTTATTCTACGCTTTTTCTTTCCAAAACAATATTACAAGAAGCAGTGAATTCTTATGCTTACATTTCTATGCTACAACCATGAAATCAAGAGGTGAATAAACAACTTCCGTTTGTTTTGCTACAACATTGAGAAAAGAAATGGGGTCAAAGAGACAACAACCCAACCAAAGAGCTGATATTCATGTATTTATTAATCAGTATCATGGATAGCACGTTCAGTCATAGCTGATTTATTGTATACTGAAATAAGATATGATACTGAATTGGAGTGTAATAAACTAATCATAGATACCAGGAATAAATTTTGTATTTACGCCAGACGCGCATTTCGTCTACAAAAGACTCATCAGTGACGCTCGAATTCAAAAAAAGTAAAAAGGCCAAATAAAGTACGAAGTAAGAGAGCATTGAGAACCAAAACTTCTAAAGGTGTTGCCAAATACAGCTAAGGTAATCTATTCCTGAGGTAGAAAGGCCTTAGTATTTCAAAAATTAAAACGTTTTGTAAACAGTTAATTTATTGCGATTGCTGGCATCCAATCTTAATTACGGATTCCTATTTAATATACACGTCATGACATTATTTAGTATTTGAAGCTCGATTATATTTTTAGTTTAAATTTGTCTAATATAGTTGAAAAAGTGTATGCATCTATTGTAGTACTAGTCAACCAAAGACATACAAGACCTACCTCTGAATTAACGACAACATTGATCATAATTTTTCTGCTTGTGATATCACTGGCAATTCTTGGATTCATTGCTCGAAGAAATTGGGGAACTTTAGGTAACAAAAATATGAAAACAGGGTCTTACAATACAAGTAAACGGTAAAACGAATATACTTAAGATTAATTACACATAATTACGTACGCAAAACGCCTATTTTCAAGACTAATCAACTTGCTATTCTGATTTTAAAAATTAAACTTTGACTCTTTCCATCCTGTCGATATGTAAGAGTAAAAATTATTAGCGTAGAGAATAGAAAATCCGAAAAGATATTAAAGTTGTTATGACATGACACATTGACAGTACTGCAATAAACATGATAAAGTGATCAAAGTATTAATTTACTCTTTCATCAATAATCGTGTGTGTCATTGCTATTAATTCAAAATTAAATCTTCTAAGATTTTTCAAACTGCTTGTAGGTAGAGGAATGAATTTCTTCGTTGTGTCATTCAGAGGAGATGCAGAAAGGTAAAGATTCATATTCAAACATATATTAATTACTTACACAAAAAGTCTTATTTCTGTTAACGCAGTTTTACTCTTATTTGAACCAAACAACAAAACCAATGCAACAGAAAAAACACACTTATAGCCTGGTTGAAGCATGTGACATTACATTATGACAGACGGACGGCAACTAGAGATAAATATCGAGCAGCAGGGTTCATACTAATGACATGCATATTGAAAAATGATTGTATATCTTTGTGTGTGCCAAACTTTTACCATATCTTGGACAATGTCTGCATAAATGAATATGTCACCATGTACAGATGATGACGTTAATGACATTTTGAGAGTACCCATTAAAACGAAACATCGTGTCTGTTTCGTGCAAAATAGAGGCAAAAGACCCGAAAGGGACATTCAAATTAGAAATCGGACACACTTTGCCAAATGCCATGGAAAAAAATTAAAAACTACTGAAGGACAATTATTAATATGTAATACACAACATAGAAAACTCAAGCCTGAGGAACACTAATCCAACTGAAAACTTAGGCGATCCTATATGCTTTGAATGGGTAAGTAGATCCTGATCCAGCTGTCCTCGTTTGACACTCTATGACTTAAGTCTGTTTTAGTTGGACAAATTCGAGGGAAAGATGACAGAATTGTGGTAACGACCAATGGAATTTATCTGTCGTAATCTGTGATATAGTTATTTCGTAATGGTGAACTAACTCATGATACCATTAGTACATTTTCAGATTTCAACTTCATCACTTGCAACTCTCGGTTTAAAAGCATTGAGACGACTGGACCTTTCCCAGAGCTCTCTGCCTAATCTTGATCAGTCGTCCTATAAATAAAAGGATAAACACTTCTTTAGTTATCCCCGTTTAATAAGATAATATCAAGCAAATAATTATTATATCCTCGATTGTGATAAACGACATTTATTTGATATTTCGCTGATACCCGAACCCGCTTTATTTACGTTTACGTCAACAAACGAAGTGATCGGGTTTACACAATATCATGGTAATTTTTTTGAAAAAAGCCCAGAAAAAATATATAGAGTAGCTGAAACCCTGATATATCAAAGCATAGTCTATCATTTTAATTTGAAAAAAAGATTTTAAAGGTATGATTTGGTAACTTAAAATTTTGTATATTTTCTCTTATATTTACACCATTAAAAAGAGTATGTATATTTGCATCATCTGTTAAAGTCTTTATGTAAATCACCACTGATTCTTTGTATAATGTATATAGCATATTTTATTTGGTAACCCTGAACCACGGTTGAAAACACTTGTTGCCATAAACTGTTGCGATGTTTTACACATGTTCTATTTATGCATACCGATGATTCTACCAAAGGGCAGTTAAATCATATTTTTAAGTAACTGTGAAATGATACGATCACATGTGTAGCCTCAATGTCATTTGATGGTTTAAAATTATTGAAAAAAGTTGTAAAACGAGGAAAATAAATTTACATTTATATCATACCCGACCTTTTTCTAATAGAATAAATACAAATTTGTTTCAGGACTATTTTAGCTGAAGATACTAGAGGTAAATATAGAACGTATTTGTGTACATTTTAGTGTAACCTATAGCTACGTCATTTTGCAAATTAGTTTGTACTTTATTCATTAGCTTTAAATCATGTGATATTTACTTGTAGTCCAATTACCTCCCTTGGTTGTACATGTTGTATGTTGTTTGTGATAAGTCATGCATACATCGTAATGTCAATATTTAATAACTTACGTCTTCATTCAATGTCTAACATGTCCTCGAAAACTTTCTTTTCACGGATATTTACAAATATATTGTGCATACGATCTTAGAAAAATATTCAAAATGAACGAAGCGGAGATATAAATGCAGTTGGATACACAAATTCATTAGCTTCTGAAAATATATTTGCATTACAGTCGGTCAAGAAAACGACAGGATAAATGTTATTAACCTTGAAAACAATTGTTTTTCTCTCCTTTTTTCCAACTGAGTATTAAATAAGGATAGCCTCTAATGGATAGCATACTAGAAATATGAACAACCACTGTTTCGCAATCTGACTTGAATTATCTCCCCTTCAACGAATTGGACCAGGTTTACCCCTTATGTATATCTTTTGGTACCGTCCAATAGCTGTGAATAGTTTATTTTATGGCAATCTAGTTATTTTAAAGGAAAATGATACGTTGAAAACAAACATTGATGAATTGTGAATTATTTCTTCCCATTTAGAACTGCCTGATCTTATGGATGAACAAGCTGAGCAATCCGTAAGCAAACTATATGTTATTAAACTTAATGATATGCTTTACATTACATAAGAAACCAAAGTCCCAGTGTATGCAATTGACACAAGCTATAATATAAAAAAGCATACAGTCAAGTAGTATCAAAATACAATATATATTATATTTTAGGAAATTAATGACTCCAGTCAAATTTCATTTTACTATTAAGACTCGAAATATCAAAAGCTTATAACTGGGGTTTAATCATTGCTTATTTATTTGTATTGTAGTCCTGTCATGTAATGTTGTCATTTTAATGTTATATTTAACATTGCCATAAAAGCGGGAGGTTTGGCTAGCCACAAAACCAGGTTCAACCCACCATTTTTTTCTTAAAATGTCCCAAGTCAGGAAAATGGCCATTGTTATATTATAGTTCGTTTCTGTGTGTGTTGCATTTTAGTGTTGTGTTTCTGTTGTGTAGTTGTTCTCCTCTTATTTTTGATGCGTTTCCCTCATTTATAGTTTGCAATCCGGATTTGTTTTTTTTCTAAATCGATTTATGAATTTCCAACAGCGGTATACTACTGTTGCCCGTATTTATTGTACAAACAATTTATACCTCCTAGACCCGCTTTAAATGCGTAAACCAAAAACCGAAACAAGAGATGTGATTGCTGCATAAAATCTAATGAAAAACACCATTTTTTTAATTTTGTTCGCAAGACGCATGTTCCGTCTACGAAATGTCATCATAATGATTCAAACAATTTGAGAGAGACAGACAGTATTGTGTATCTTATTTATCAAATGATATAAGATAGGTCTACAACTTTATGAAATCCAAGTTGATTTGGAATAGTTATGAAAAAAGATTACTATCTGAATTTAGTCCGAACTGAAAATTCTAGCTTATATGACTTATCAATTAAATGCTTAAATTTGACAGCAATACACCAAACGACACACAACCTAGCATTCTGTAAGATCAATGTATAATTGAGAAGGCTGTAGAGTTTTAATGAACAAGTAGACCTCCGATTGATATGCCTATTGTATAAGATTCTTTTCGGCATATGGCTCTTCCACTGTTTTTAACACATCATTAGCTGTAAAATATATACGGATTTGAACGTTCCTGGTGAAGGTAAATAAAGAAAAATGCTTCGGAAAGACATTTTGTTTGTATCATACTGTCATCATATATCTTGTGCATGTAGGTTAACAAATACGGTATAAACAAATCTTCTTTGCATACATGTACATGATATCCCAATAACGTCGATAATTTGTTTTGCAATGTGGGAAAACATTTTTTTTTATTATGAATGATTGTTCTGTTCAGTACTAGTTTGTTATCAATTCAGAAAATCTTTGTATAAAAACAATTTGCTAATTTTTAGTAGTACACAAATCTTAATCTTGATCACGGTTCCGCTTTTGATATACATTACGATTTTATCACCCCAAGGCTTATGAAATATGCGATGACTAAAAAATGTATGTAATTTTCTTAAAAGATTTATTGATTACAATTTACCCTTGTGTGTTTTTTCAAATTCATATATTTAAGAATTGAAAAGTATAACACGATTGTATTATAGGATGGATTAATTTATTGACGGAGCCACTGGCAGCAGGGCAAACCAGAATTCGAGGAATAGTAAACAGAATTATGTACACAGAAATTGATCATTCATTAACTGCATAAGCAGGACAACAAGACACCAAAAAAATATAGCTTTTTTATATACATTGTTAAATGTTAGAAATAATAATGCTCTTCATTTTTAATATTTGACACTTTAGTTAATTTTCAGTGTTTTATTAGGAATATTTGACAATATGCTTTCCATTTCGGAGCAACTGAAAGTTCACCCGTATTTTTGATGTTCGTGTGTCTCATTCTTATGTTTTCAATGTTGCGTGTTGTGTATTTTCGTGTATCTGTTATATTTTCCTTTTTATTTGCCATGGCATGTCAGTTTATTTGTTACTAATGAGTTTTAATTTTCCTTTGGTATATTTTGCCTCTGATTTACAAAATCAGCAATCAATTACATACTCATTGGTCGGGTTGTTGTCTCTTTGACACATTACCCATACCCATTCTCAATTTTATAACTTGATCAAATTGACTGCATCTGTTGCAGTAAGTTTCTAATTTTCATCTAATTAAATAAGGAAAACAAAACCAATTTATTGACAAAATACTTTTCGTTTAGAAAAATGTACCAATTAAACAATCTAAAAAAAACAGATGTCAAATAATACTTTCAAAGATGAAAAACGATTTTTAACACTAAATAAAAACTGTTAGAAAACAAGATTCCAAAATTCTAAATTCAATATTGGAAGTTAGATAATTGAAGTTAAATTTAGGAGATTAATAAAAAAAAAAATTAATGATTTCTCTAATTCAATATTTGTTTCAAATTTGAAATTATAATCATGATTCTTTAGAAAATTAAGAATGCCCATTAAAATAAAATGAATGCATATGAATGAAAAAAATCCTTTTTCCGTATGAGCAACTTCACTGACATGTTAACTTACATGTAATTAAAATGTCAAAAATATAACAGATGAAATTAACCCAAGTAATGTTGAAAGACTTGATTTTTAAACATACACGACAATGATTTAAATTTTGGTTATTACCTTTTTTAATGATATTTATCGCTTTTATTGAAAAAAAAGTACCGAAATACGCTAGGGTTGAGTAAGTGTATTTCTTTGTATGGAATCTATGACAATTTTAGCATAATATACAATTTTGATCACTAGTAAAGATTGTTAAGCTCAAGACCACAATTTAACTATTGAACTGTAATGACTTCATATGTGAACATCGAGCACTATTCCTCACGTTATGGGTTAAGTATCATACCACCATCAAATATACGAGTAGAAAATTATCCGTTTAATGCCAACAACTGGATTTTGAATAAATATGAAAAAGATAATGTGGTATGAATGCCAAGGAGACAACTCTCAACAAGAGACAAAATGACACAGAAATTTACAACTATAGGCCAACGTACAACCTGCAACAATGAGCAAAGCCCATACCGCATATTCAGCTATAAAAAAGCCCGAAATCACAAAATTTAAAACGAGAAAACTAATGGCCTAATTGATGTACAAAAAATTGAAGCAAAAACAAATATGTAACACAACAACAAAAGACAACCACTGAATTGCAGACCCCTGACTTGGGACATGCACAAACACACAGAATGTGATGTGGTTAAACATGTTAGCGGGATCCCAACCCTCCCTTTTACCTGGGATAGTGGTTATTACCGATACAAATAGGTTATGAGTGAATAAATATTTATTCCAAAAATTACCTTTGTTTGACTTGACAACAATATTGTAACTATCTCCCTTTTAAATAAGACTGTTTAATGTTTTGGTTAGCTTCTGAGGTGAACGACGACATTTTTGTGCTTAGCATTGAATACAACCATAAAATATTGGATAAGAAATACCTGCACTCATAAGATGTCAAAACATTATTTATATTTACGAATATTGTACTTTTACTGATGATGAAATCAAATATATGTTTTGACACGTTAGGGATATCGAAAACCCTGGTGTAATAATTTTTCAGAGATTCAGAGATTCTTTAAAATCAAATACTTCATAGCATATACGAACCAATCAAACAAGTTGAGATATATGGACCCAATAAGATGTTGACAACGGAAGGTCACCATCTAAACAATTAACAATAGGAAATGAAAAAAATTCTTGTATCGTAAATTTTTGTATTAAAATTCCCATTTAAGATATATATATCAAATTCTAGGAAAGATCAGTGTTCATTGCCAAGATGATTAGCTTTATTTGAAGTTAGATCTAAATATTGTCAGTGTACATACTTCTAATTGCACGTGAACAACTATTAAAATGTTACATTCACAAAATGTCTTCAATTGAAATAACTTGTAAGCATAGACCATTCATTTTATGTAATCGTTTTCTTTAGATGATTTGTTTTTAACCCATGCAGTTAACATCTTAGATGATCGTTAAAATGTTAACTTTGCTAATTCCTTTTAATCGAGACAATTTGTATCTAAGGTGATAAAGCATATTTTGGAAAGCAATTATTGTCTTAAAAAATTGATGGATGTTCTTAGTAATGAACAAGAAAGTGAAAATGAACACCGTCATTTCTTTATTTACAACATCTATCACATCATTGATAACCGTGTTACCTCAGACAATGGACACATGCATGAATGGTGGGGTTGATGTGTTGCTCTTCCTTTTGTGAGTGTAACCTATAAGTTGAAATGAAATTAGTTAACGTGTATATATCTCAAATATATCAATGTGTACAATTTTATAAAAGTTAATGTTCAAATTAAAGAGTAGTAATTGGTATATCAATGGATAAGAAATTTTTATTTTTCAATCATATCCGTGTATATTTTTTGTATATTTTGTGCACCACTTCTTATGTCAAACTCAAATTGGTTTGCAACCCCTAGTTCTCTGGAGATATGAACTCCTTGGATGTTTATTTTTTATGAAATATTATTAAACATGTTGAAAGTATTTACTAATGAAGCATGCGTCGTCGTACATTATAGTTTATCCAGCTTCTCGTTTTTTTTATAAATTAGTTTCTTATTAAAATGATCGAATAGAAGTTAGTTTTGATAGAAACAAATTACTGTAATAGCTGGTAGACGTAGGATTTGAAAAACACAGTAGTACAATTATTGAGAAGGATTTTCCAACCTATATTAAATTTCTAAAACGTGAAAAACATGTCCAATCATTTATGAACATACTTTACAGTTGTCAATAAATAAATCGTTTAACCTCCACGTGTTACCTTTCATGTAATACCTTTTCCTACAATTTTAAATCTAATTACAATTTAGTACGGTGACAGATAAGGTCAAATCAAATATACAATGATTCAACCTACCTCGCAGCTGATTTGTTTTTATCATTTGAACGATGAATAACACGTATTTGGATCCAGGCGAACCGAAATTGCTAATGTAATAGATTTGTTTGAAAATTGTAATAAATAGTCAGATATCAGGACTTTCAAAAATCAACAATATTTTTATC